CGTGAGTTTATTGAAGTTTTAGTTACAAAAGAATCAGTGTTGTGGAGGGCCATGGCCTTGAACGCCGCGCAGGCAGCGCAGGGAAAGGCAGCACCTGCGGGCCTGCAGGCCCAGCCAAACACCAAGGGACGGCTCCCCAGTGCCGCCCTGTGTTGCAAACACAGAAATGCACGGACAGCCCGTTCCGAGTGGGCAGAACGGCTGGTGCTGCTGCTCAGGCACTGCAGGGTTTATAATCACAGGTCCTTCACTAACACATGCTGTGCTGAACACTTGCTTTTATCACTGCTGAATAACAAAAAGAGACATCGATCATATAGCAAAATAATATTTACATGCAATCCCAGTAAACAAGGTGGAAATGCCAGTAGGTTTGGCTAAACAATTTTAAAAAAAATCAAATCCTGTTTGGCAGCAAATCATCCAAGCAGTATTTGCCACCTGTAAGTTATTTCTCAAAAGGAAGAGCATATAAACTGCGCATTTGATTTTCTCAGTAGCAACCACCGTGCCAGATATGCTTATACCCTTAAGGATTTTGGATAGCAACAGTTTGTGTACAAGTAGCTACTTAGTAGTAGCTGATTCAGAATGGGCCAGCCTTGCCTTTAATTGTAACAAATTTATACATTTACTGTGCAAAAGCTTGTACTGTAAGAGGGCACTAAAACTGTATACATTCATAATGTCAAGAAAAGATGTCTATAAGTTTTTCCGTAATCTCAGCTTAATTGTTATTCATATTCCTGCTTGTAGACAGAATTATGAATACAGTTCTCCACTATCTTAATTAACACCTCTAATCTAATGCACCTGGTATGTCTGTACAAGGAAATATTTCTCTGTGGTTTTCGCCATGGAAACATGTTCTGGTTGTCAGTGATCAGTCTGTTAGGGCAAGAGAGGTGCCAATATGTAAGCATGTCTGATGCACACACAACAGGTGCCTTGGAAGCTCTTCGCTGTCACAAATCCTAAAGCAGTTTTCCCTGAACATAACAAGCAGGAAATCTTTTCTCTAGCCAGCCCTATCTCTAGGCAGCCAAAAAACTGAACAGAACAAACAGGAAACCTTTTCTCATACAAATTTTTAATAATGTTAGGATACTGATTAACAACAATACACACAGCACAGAATATTTCAAACTTTATAAGGCAAAGTACACATCTTTTATTACATTCTGGAACCGATCTCAAGTTCTTCCTTAAGTTATTTACTCTCTGATGAAGCAGCCCTGGGAGTGTTCTTATTTGTACTTGCTGCCCCATGGGCTGCTGCCACAAACACTGCAAGACCATAGAAATATCTGGTGTTTGTCTTTTTCTACACTGCACTTCCCTTTGCAGTAATTGCAGAGCAGAGCACATTCCCCTGAAATCCCTCTTACATAGGAGCCCCTCCTGTAATCAAGAAAGCAATAATTGGATCAGCTGTGAAGTAGCCCATAGTTCTCTGATCAAGGTGGCACTTTCACACTGCACTCAGCAGCACATGAACTTGAGTTTGTTACAAGACATTTGTACAAATCCTGCAAATACACCTTGATGCAGTGGCTGAAGAACTGAGAGGTTCAGGCTAATTACTTCTTTTTCACATTAAAAATAAATGAGGTTATAACATCAATTTGCAGCATCTCAGTAGATCCATGATACTTGATAATCATTATTCTGCAATCACTTACTAGACAAACATCCAGGGGATCCTTCTCAAAGTCTTCTTGGTAGAGTTCTGAATACAAGTTCCACGTTGTGGATTTGCTATTTGCCATGCATTGGCTACTCTGTAAGTCCTTACAAGGGAGTCTCTTAAAGCATGGAAGGATGGATACACTTTGAGCAGAGACTTTTAGCCCAAAGTCTCTCAGCATTTTGAAGAGAAACTCTGTTTCTCAGAATAAATTTGCAAGAGGTAGAAATATCAATTACAATTTACATGCAGGGATGCAAACACGGCTGTTTGAAAATGCTCGGTGGTAGTGTAAATTACAGAACATCCACCAGAGGGAAGCTCATGCATTCATTCAGAGTGAAATAAATAATTTGAAGGATGAGAGAAACACACACCTGATATTTAAGGCAAAGCAAATTCTATTTTAATTGTTTCAGTAGCATGGACTTTTTGAGGTTGGAAAGTTTTCAGAAGTTATTTGCCCATCTAAAAGTAACAGACTTACAAAGAGTTTCCTGGATTGATGACTGGCTTATTGCACTACTTATAATATGCATGTACACAAAAAACTTAAACTGTGTTTTTTAAACATACAGATGCAGCTTAATTTCACTGCTGTGATGAAGTGGACTAGAACTTCTGTGATTCAAAGTCCAAATGCATTCCTACATTAAAGCCCACCCACATGCGGCCACTGGAGTGAGTGAGATACTGAATTGTTTAGCCACTGTTGTTTTTAGCAGTTATTGACTACACTATTGTCATCTGTAAGTTATTACTCTTCCCCTGTTATTGGAAATATTTGCTAAATTGCCTATAAAGTTTGTGTTCTACTAATTTAAATTTGATAAATAACAGACACTTTTAGAGAATATTTAAGACAGCTTACAGTGTGAAGTTTTCTTAGTGACCCAGGAGTCACACAGAGCTGTTCAGGAACATGCTCCTGAGCTAATGTTAACGCTAATGTCTGAGATATTTAGTCTAACAGCCTAGCTTCAGAGTCTTACTCAAGGAAATCTTAGCAGTCCAACACTTCTTTGGAATTTTTCTGAAACTAAAATTCCAGACTGTGGCTGCAATTGAGAGACTCATTTGTTTTCTAGCTTAAATGAAAGACACAGCCAGAGGCTGAGGCCATTTGGCGAGCGAACTTCAACTCAAGTGGAGAAAGGTGTTTCAGGAAAATGTAAGGCCAGATGCTTCAGAAGTTCAACCACATCCATACACCACTGGATTAGAACTATACTTATACCAGTGGTTGTTCAGACAACTGCTCTTTTCCTCCAAAAATAAAGTTGTAAAAAAAAAAAATCCTACAGAGGTGTCACACAATGGTACAGAACATACAAGTCCTTTTAGGGATCCTTGGTAGATTGAGGGCTGGCCACAAGATTGTAGCAACACTTAGAGCACTTATTATGACATAAAAATTTACTTAAGAGCATACCTTATGGTTATCTACAAATTCTAGCAGTTTGTGTATCTTACTGCTACACAGGATTTTTAGCAATTATCCCACCTTTCAGTTAAGCAGTTTCTAGTGATCAGTGTAGCTTTCTTTACTATCTAAAGTCTTTGGTTATGTAGGCTTTTAGTCACCTGAGCCCTCTGCAATTCAGGTCAAAGTCTTGATAATCAGTGTATGACACAACAATCATAATCTAGATTGACTTTACTTAAAGAACCTGCCAGTCCCTGAAGCACTGGGTGACAACAGGTACTGGACATCTCTGCTTGATTGTCTCTTTCCAATAAAAATCTGCAACTTAGTTCAATCTAGATATGCCACTGGCAATAAACTAAAACAGTCTATGAAGATATTTCTGGAGAAATAATGTGTGTAAAGGTGATTTCATTGGAAGAAGAGATCCTGCCCAGCACTTCCTCCCATTAGTTATTTTTCACATGTGGTTTTCAGAAATTCCCTTCAGAATACAAACAGATTGTTTCATTTTTTCCCCTACCTGATATTCATTAAATGTGGTTAAAAATGAAAGGAACTGGAATCACGTATCAGATTAAATACCAATTAAAATCTGTATTACACAAATAGTATTTTGAAGATATAATACTTGACTTCAGTGGGGTTATTCTGGATTTGCTTTTGATCTCATTATACTCTTACAAGAGCAAAACCAGCTAAGCTGCTTTGGGGGTGCTGATGTTACAATCCTTTTTCCATGGTGAAAAATACTTTTAAGCTTAATACCGTGCACTACATTTGCCAGGTTTGTAAAATTAGGGAAATAATCTGCATCACATTCTTAAATTTAAGAAATTTATAAATAACTCCTTTGTTTCAGTGAACGTTTTTAGTGGTAAATACCCATCCAGTTCCACTTCTTGAATATTTCTGTTGGCTCTGCTGTTCTAGTTCCTCCTTTAACATTTTAGAAATGAACTTCAGAAAATGTTTTGAAATCAGGATAACAAAATAGTTTCATACTCTTTGGCCAGGCTCTGAAGAACTTATGATTCATTTAGGATTTGAGTACTACATTGACTACCAAGTTTCCTAGGAAAAATCATAAACGTCATAGCCCATTGCTGGCACAGCAGGACAATAATGTAGTCATATCTTTTCTCTCTGGCATGGAGCACTTCCTCCTATAAGTCTACATCCAGACAGAATACTCTGATGGTTATTGTTTGGTAAAGAACTGCAATTTCCCAGAGAATTCCCAGAAATACAACTCCTACCCACTTTTTTATACCAGTACAGTACAAACAGTTGATTTTCTTTATGCCAGGGTATTTATAAATATGATTGACTGTTTTCTGCTGAATTAAAAAAGATGACATGAAGGTAGTAAGCACAATTTTTGTGCTTTAAAATTCTTGCCAAACATATAATGCCCATTTGTAGTTGACCTGCCACTCCTCTGGTTTTTGTTTTTATAAAATAAAGTGCCAAGTTGTTCATAGGAGCAAGAATAGAATAGCATAAAAAGGGTTTCTTTCTCCTCACAGCCATTGATTAGATCAGTAACATCAAAACAGTAGCACATTTCTTTAAATAGGGACACTTTAGAAAGACCACCAACATGCTGTAAAATTTGCTGAAGCACAATGGATGTATAACTAACAGCAAAGTCAGGTCCTGCTTTGTATTTTTACTTTTGCTTTGTATGCAAAAATACCCATCCTCCTAAACAACAGGAACTGCCATATGTGGCCATCTGCCATATGTGGTCAGATGTCAGTAAGAGTAAACATGAGGATGTGAGCTCATAGTCTGCATTAGCCTTCAGAACATCAGTTGGAGGAGAACTTTCAACTAGTTCACCAACACCTAGAGAATAAAAGCAGAGCACAGAGCAACCAAGAACAGAAGAATTTCCAGAATGAGTCAAGCTGAGGAAAGCAGTGGGAACTCAGCATGGAATATTGTGAGGTCAGTAGTGTGCGTAATACTGGCCTTGTCATTTATAATTGGCACTCCTGGGAACTGCATTGTCATCTGGACTGTTTGTACAAAAATGAAGAAAATATCTCTTTCAGTCCTGCTGATCTTGAACCTGGCCATTGCTGACGTCCTTGTACTGATCACTTTACCAATCTGGATTTACTCTTTTGTTGACTCATGGGTTTTTGGAATCATCTTCTGCAAAGTGCTGGTTTTCATTATTTACTGCAGCATGTATGCCAGTATATTTCTGATTACAGCACTCAGCTTGGAGCGGCTACTGGCTGTGTTTTACCCTTTCACAATTCAAACCTACAGAAGAAAAGAAAAAATTTCTTTGATTGTGTTCCTCATTTGGTTCCTGTCTGTTGCCTTTGGCATTTCTGTCATTCCATTTCAAGAGACAGAAGAAATGGACGGTCGGCTTCTGTGCACGTGTCGCAACTACTCTTCTAATAGACAGAAGGTGTCCTATCTTCTGCTGGAGACCCTTGCAGGTTTTGTAATCCCTTTCTTAATTATTTGCACTTGTTATGTGTGTGTTGCAAGAAGAATAAGCAGAATGACTTACCAATCCAAGCAGCGATCGGAACGTCTCATTGCCAGCGTCGTGGTGGCTTTCATTCTGTGCTGGTTCCCTCACCACATCTTTAACATCCTGGATGTCATTTCTGTTGAAATAGAGCTCTCAAATGAGGAGATGTCTTTGGCACTGGAAGAAATTGTAGACAAAGGAGCCTACATCTCTGGAGCACTTGTATTCATCAGTAGCTGTATTAACCCTCTGCTTTATGCTTTTGCTGCACGAAGGTTTCAGAACCACCTGAGGTTTGCCAAGATGTCAAAGCTGTTTGAACAGATCAGTCAGACTGTAACAGAGGAAGACAAGAAAAGAAATCTGGTTGTAGCCAAACATGAAGATACTTTGGTAGGCACAGAAAATCTCTAACAAGGAACTTAGTGAATAATCTGTGTCATTTCTTCAGCAGTCCTTTCTCCTCATTCTCTGAGTTTCATTTACTGAGCAGTCCAGGAAAAGCTGTAGAGAACTAAAAGCTTTTTGGGTTTTTTTCTTGTGTGTTATATAAGAATTGGCATTAACAACATTGTTCAGTTCATAAATTATTATTCACATTGTGAAATGAGCACTATTTCACTGTTGCTGAGAACATCAACAAGGTGGCTAAAAGCTAAAATTGTGAGGAATACAGCATTGTTACTTTCCATTAAAATTATGTCTGATTTATAGAAAGTCTGTGTGCAGAAAACAGAAAAGAGCTGCATGTGGAAAAGAGAGACTTTGAAAGCTTGAAACTAATGAAACTAAGGTTTTTTCAGAAAAAAAAAGTTGTTACATGTTCAAAAATCCTTATACAATCTAAAGTTTTAAGAAGTTAAATTCTTTATATGGCTCATAATGGTTTTAAATTATTATACTAATGACACAAAAGTCTTCTGGGTTGATGGAAAATTCAAAGCTATTTTTTAATCATTACTATATTTAGGTTTGAAAGTAATAAGTGTTGTTTATACAGTCAAGATCCTTTACTGCATTATCTTTGGGTAATGGGTTTGAACAAGTCAAACATGGAGTATGAGAACTGTGTTGTATGGCAAACACCACTGCAGACTGCATGCTGGATCTGATGGCAAACACATTGCATACTTCAGTGGCAATTTGATGTATTAAATATATATTCTTTGAGTATCCTCAAAAATTTTGATTCAAAGAAGTTAAGCTCCCAAGAGGTCTATTAAATTGTGGAAGAATTGGATCAGGCTCAGGTGAGGAGGAAGGAGACATCCTTCCTATTAATTTTATGTGTAAGAAAATTATGGTAGTAGTACAAAGTGTCTCATATCAGAAAAACTTCACCTTGCAAATAAAAGAGTTATATTTTTCTATTCTTACAGAATAGTGGACCTTGCCATAGGAAACCAATAAAATTAGTGTTTGCAAGGGCTTTAGTTTTGTGAATGTGTGTAAACTCACTGTGAAAAATTGCATGGCATCAAGTGTTTGCTTTTGAAATTTTATTTATTTCAATTATGCTTAACATTTTTTACACTTGCTTTGTAAATTTTTAATTCAAACATTTGTAATAAGATCAAAATAACTACTGATTATGAAGCATGTTGTAATTTCATTTTCCTTGTTCTGGACAGTTACTAAATAGCTATATTGCTCATTTTTACAAAGAAATTACAAATACTAACCAGCCATTAATTTTTGAAATTTTGAATAATTTTGAATTTTGAAGTGCAGGATATTTGAGTTGTACTAATTTAGCTTGTAAACTGAAATAAACACAGGGAGGTTAAATCCTTAGCTACTAATGAAGAATTTTTCTCTAAACTTTGCATATGTATTGTTATTCCTGCTTCTTATCAAAAAGTATTTTTTCTCCTGAATAGAATTCCACAGCACAGAGGTTTTTCCTTCAACAGGACTCCTTCACTGGAATTAAAGAAAACTTTACCAAGATCTTGTTTGCAACAAAAAGTAAGCAACAGATGAAACACTTTAGACTTGACCCCAGCCTTTACCCAGCACTATTTTTCACCCCTCTATTAGCTTTTAATTGCTATAGGGCATTCAATATAGCAATGTGACATTATCTCACAAAAAAGCAGCAGTTTCAGTTATCTACTCATAAAAAAGTGAAGCTGTATTTCCCAATATGTTCTTGAGATAGGAATCACTCACTATTCAACAGCACAGAGCAGACCAGGAGATTTGCTATCTGATAAGCACATGAGCACTGCAACTGAACTTCTAGGCCACAAAGAGTCAAGTATTTCCCAACTCAGAGTGTGAGAAAACACGCAGACAAACTTTAGTACGAGCTGCCTGACCAATATTTTCTTTTCTATCAGTCCATGCCTGAATTTTCTGCCTATATTAATTTTTCACATTTTCTCCATTGCTTTTTACTCACAGTACTGAAGTCCCTGTCCATCAGGAGGTCCATCAAGGAGCTAGAACTGTCCCTCTTAATTTCTCATTAATGGCCTTGGTTCTATGTCCAGTAGATAGTCAGACAGTCATCTCTAAGGACTGTGTTTCTTTTGAAGGCTGTTTGAGAAGTACTAGAACATACTAAAACAGCAACATTAACTAATTTCATTTTTACGTAGAGTAAATAAAGTTAATTCTTGCAGTTGGTATGCACAGTTAAAATCCTCACTGATTTAATATTTTTGTCAGCACAGCAGTCATGTAACTGGGACAATAAGAGTCCACCTAAAAGTACAAGCAGATGACTTGGTTGTCTGCTGCTTCCTTGAGCAGGTACACATCAGGCCTAGGAATGCAGCCAGATTTTGCACTTCATCAGGGCTAACATGCTCTCACCTCTATCTGTTGCTCAAACTAGATCAAAATAGTGACCTCCTATTAACTTGAGACATACTCAGATTCTCCCAGGAAAATAGAGGCTTCATGTCATTTGAGTTCTTCTTTTTTTTTCTTTCTTTCTTTCTTCCTAACCCTTCTACCCTTGTTTATGAGGTGTGCTGTGTGTTTTCAGTGTCCAGTTATTTCTCATGACACAGCAAGGCAGAAGGCTGAGCCAAGAGAGAGCCACTTCAGTCACCTGAGTGAAATCACCTCAGACTACACTGAAGTGCAGGGAACATCATGTGGAGTCAGTGCAATTCTGCTTAGAACACTGAGTACTAGGAGGTGACCAGATACTTTGAATTTCTCACATTTGTAAAAATTAATCATCTTCTAACAATTATCTCTTAACATTTCAATATTTCCCAGCCCGAAACTTGCTGTCAACATTCCATGGGTTTACATCAGGATTTTTTCACATTTACTATAGTAGGATTATGCTGCCTAAAGTGAATTCATGTAATATTAAATGGATTGAAGGAAAGCCTGAGGAATTTTTAGCTCATGCAGCCAATATACAAGAAGGATAGAAAAGGACATAAAGCATCAGCCTTACACTATTTGTTGCCTGTTGGCATCAAAATGTTTCTGTAAGCATCAAGGCAAAAGAGTTATACCTGGATTAAAACAATGAAGCTTTGTGAATATTTACAGGCAATTCACAACTTAAGGAGTAGCACAAGGGAAATCAGAGATCCTTATTTACAAGAAGAAACAGGGCAACTGCATTATATTAGAAAAAAAAAATTATTTAAACCTCCAGAACATTTTCTAGGAAGAAGTAGAGCAAAAGACACATTTTAAAAACAGTTAAGGCTGCAGTTATAGAACTTTTAGGGTTACAATTAGCAGGACTAAATGAAAGATTTGCCTGCAGTGCCTGGGTGAAAGGAATAAAAGAAGCTAACAGATGACACAGAAACAACATAGGAATTCAATTTCTTCACATTCAAACAAGAGTCTGATAAAGAATAAATATTTCAGAAGATGCAGAAGTAGCAATATTAACAGCGTGAAGGTTTTCTCTACAGGTTAGTATACAGCTCTTGTATTATTCTCTTTTCTGCATATATTGGGAAAAGGGAAGGCAAAGGAGAAGCTATTGCTTTTTTGAGTAGAAAAACATGAGAAATAAGTTAGTCAAGATTATTAAGAATTATATAGACTTAAACTGAAACAGAAGTTCAGCCATGAGAACTGAGTATAGAAAGAGACCAGACAGGGAAGTGAAAACTATTCAGTTGCAAGACATTTTCAGATTTTTGTGAATGCTTTCATGTCAGAGCAGTTAATCACTGAAACAGTTCCTTATTAGAAAACTTCTCAGTGTGATCCACACTGGTGCTCAGTAGATTTAAGAAAAAAATTCAATAAACCAGAGTTTAGAGAGACATAAGCCTGTCCTCTGAGAGGGTGAGTAGCCTATGCTGCCCCTGTTAGCATTAAGATCTGGCTGTGACCAGGGCTATGATGAGGGACACCAGGATTTCAGAAACTTTACAACACTGTTTACAGTCCTCAGAAAGTTCGTGCTCTGAGGACTGTAAAAGTTCGTGCTCTTATCTCCATAAGAGATAAGAGAGTTGTATACTATTGAATTTCTTTGTGTCTTCTTTCCTGTTAAATCAAATATGCTAAAAATCATGTGGATGGTTCTTAGTAAGATTCAACTTTTTAAAATAGCTTGAAGTTGAAGAAATATTCAGATTAGAAGAAAATTATTTTATGGAATGTGTCAAGTCAGTGATTTAAATGATGGCATTATTGAAAAAGATGCCATGAAGTCTTCAAATACAGGTTAAAGAGCTATGACTCTTTAGGAATCAATTATTAGGAATTAGGAATCAATTATACATCTGCTAAACAGCAAAATCCACTTATTATTTATCTACTAGAAGTCAGCTATCAGAACTAAATCTTGATTGCAAAATTAATGGTCAGTCTTCAGTTTTGGCTGTACCTGTATAGGTACCAACATTGTGTGCAGGTAAGTGCATCACTATTTCCATGGGCTATTAACTAGGAAACAGTGTGAACTGCACTGAGACACCTACAAACAATGTATTGTGATTAAAGTGAAGGGTATGTCCAGATGTAGTAAAATGGAGGATTAGAAGTTTAGCCTGCTCTTACTGGATCTTAAACTGAAAAATCAGACTTCTCATTTTTGCACAGCAAACCTGTTCATGGTATAGCACATTACACAAAAAATTAATAGCTAAATATTTCATTTTCATAGAATTGTGAATTTGAAGCAGTGCTTATGACCTGTCATTGGTGGTGCCACCCTAAGAGCCACAATAGGAAAATAGCTGTGTGAAGATCACTTCTAGTCATTGAATTTCTGATGCCGTGGGAATGTATTACAGTGTAAACAATCTGAAAACAAGTTGCAGATTCAATACCTTAACTCTACTACATAATTTCAAAAGTCACTATAATATTAATATTTACTGGTGAACTTGGTGATTAGTATCAGAAACTTAGCAGTCATGGACACTTTTTAAACATTGCAACTATGAGTGGCTGTCAGATTTAAAAATACAGCCACAGAGCTTCAGCTGTGCTGTAGAAGGGAACATTATGTAGTTAAATCTGAGGGAAGCATTTAGCATCACAGGTTTTTACATACCTTGTTCTCTCCTGCCACCATGTGGCTTTTCCATTTTAAAAAGTTAAGCTTAAGTTTAATACTCTAGAAGTCACTGAAACAAGCAGTGAAATACTTTGTTCATTGTTTCAGTTGTGAACCTATTTAAGGTTCAAGTCATTGAGACAGAAATGTTCACAAAAATCCACAATAATATATTAAGCATTCATTTCAGAGTGATCTAGTTCATCTCTTTTTTGCTC